CATCGGGCCCCTTTACCTTTTAGAGCAGGGTCAGACTGCAGATGGCAGTCAACATCTGACTCCCCCTTTCTAAGAAAACAGTGAAAACTTAATCCGTGTGCCTGATAGCCGCAGGAGCCAGAACTAGACACTAGCACACATTCAGAAGGCTTACGTATTAAAAACACGTTCAGAAACAGTTCAGAGTGATACTTGGGGAGGGCTCTGGTGCAGAGCGATACTTGGGGAGGGCTCTGGTGCAGAGCGATACTTGGGGAGGGCTCTGGTGCAGAGCGATACTTGGGGAGGACTCTGGTTGGCAGAGTGCTGTCAAGGAGTGCATTATATGGGAGTCTTGGAGGACAGAGAAATCAGCCAGGCAAACTGGAGTAAGTGACTTTTGAGCCAGGCCTTGATGCACTAGGTATCTCACAAAATTAAAATTAAAAAAATAAAATCTTAACAGATCAAGAGGCCCAGTGTTATAAAGCAGTTTGAAAGTGTTCCTTTTGAAAGTTAAACTAATTGTGTGGCCACGAAAGAATAAGAGGTAAATTGTGGTGAAGCCCAAGGAGAGGAAACTGATGTTCCTGGGAGTGGCTATTTCACTTATGGTGTGGACCTACCCAAAGACCACCCAGAAAGTCTCTCAATAGAAGGAAGAGGACTCCTGGGAACCATTTATTCAGAAATGTAGCATTTTCCAGGGAAGAGAAAAGTGCCTCAAGAAAGTTGAACTTAGATGTCTCTGTCTTAGGGTGGGTGGCAGGACACTGGAGTGAAATTTTTTTTTAGCTCCTTTGTTCACAGAACACTATGGGTTAGAGTCTCTGCTTCTTTAACTGTGTAACAGGACTAGAAGTAACTATCTCTGGTGACTATGAGAATTGAGTCTGTTGTGTGAATACTTTGAACTTGAGGCCAAGTGTGTGGCAAAGCTTCAAATACGTATAACTTCCAGCTTACCAAGGAGTTGTTTGCTTTTTAAATGGGCTCTCTTGTAGCTGACTGTCCCTCAAGGGCTGATCCTCCTACCTGTGTCTTTCTCATGTGGGGATTACCAGTGTGTACATCATGTCCTGTTCTCCCAGAAATCTTGTGTGTATGTGTTTGTGTGCTCGTGTGTACATGTGGAGGCCAGACCTCGGAGTGTTCCTTGGGAGCTGTGTATTTTTACCTATAGACATACATGTACTGACTGAACCGGCTAGGTTAGCTGGCCAGGGAGCCCGAGTGATCTGCATGCAACTACACATGGCTTTTATTTACTTTTGGTTGCTGTTTTGAAACAAGGGCTCACTATGTAGCTGTGGCTGGCCTTTCACTCAGAGACCTGCCAACCTCTGTCTCCTAGGACTAAAGGTACATGCCACGACACCCAGCAGTATTCTTGGCTTTTAAAATGTGGCTTCTGGGGATCAAATGGTGTCCCAGTGTTTGAAAGGCAAACATTTTACCCACCGAGCTATCTCTCCAGCCCTTCCCAAGCCACTAACTTGTGAATATCTTAGTCATCTTAGACAGGACACTCAGAAGAGACATGTAAGTACTGTAGGGCCTGAATGAGAGCCCTCCCTTGTAAACTGATACCTCAGCATTGTTTATCATCCAGAGCCTGGTCATTTCTAGAATTTTGGAAAAGCTGTTTCTGAATATACAGTAAGGCTGAGTGTCCCTTGAGTCAACCACCAATGTATAATGCACCACGAGTCTGGCTGGGAAGTAACACTTATTAAGTGTTTGCTGTTTGGACCAAGGACTCTCTGAAGTGCCTTACCTGTCCTGTTACCTAAGTGTCACAAGTGACCTTTTACCAGGCATAGTAAGTAGCGTATCAGAAAGTTGAGCATTAGAATCATGAGTTCAAGCTGGGCGTTAGTGGTGCATGTCTTTAATCCCCAGCACTCGGGAGGCAGAGGCAGGCGGATTTCTGTGAGTTCGAGGCCAGCCTGGTCTACAGAGTGAGTTCCAGGGCAGCCTCCAAAACAATACAGAGAAACCCTGTCTCGGGGGGGGGGGGGGGGGGGAAGAATCACGAGTTTAAGGCTAGCCAGGTTTACATAGCAGATCTGAAGTCTGCCTGGGCAACTTGGCAATGCCATGTCTCAGATGAAAATTCAAGCAAGTTAGGAGCAGAGTGATGAGTGAGTAGAACCACTTGCTGCCAAGTCTGATGACCCGAGTTCAGTACCCAGGGCCCACATGGTAGAAGGAGGGAGCCAACTCCTATAAATTATTCTCTAACCTTCATATATGTGCTGTGTCACACACAGCCCATACAGCAAAACAGGCAGGCATGCACACACAGAGACACTAAATGTGTAAAGTGAAAAACACTGGGAGCATGTAGCTTAGTAGTGGTACATTCACCTATGAAAGTCCTGGGTTTAATCCCTGATCTCACCCAAAACAGAAGAAAACGCAACCCTTTGAGATAGGTACTCTATAGTTCTACAGTCATACAGATGAGGAACATACAGTTGCTAGGTAACTCGCCTAATGTTTCCCACACAGCTTATAAAATGGCAAGGACACAATTTGAACCTAGTTGTGCCTCTGTCCTCAGCCATTGACTTGAACTGCTTAGGACCCAAGCCAGGAGGACACAGTTTCAGGCCCAGCTCTGCTTCTGTTCCAGGATTATGACCTTGGTATTTTGTTTCTTCATTTGAAACATTGTGAATACTTGAAGTGCAGCCTTGTTTTGAAGACCAGAGGTCGGACATGGGAAGTGGCTGCCACAGTAAGGGGTGCATGAAGCTGTCTCATCACTGTGGGCCTCTTCAGCTCCCGTTTCTTCTATCTTAGGTCCCCCTAGTGTGTGGCCTCTGGGTCTCTTAGAGTTAGAGGATAAGATCCTGTACTCACACTGTGAACACGCTGCAGTGCCTGCTGATGGTCTAAATGAGAAAACAGCCGAGGCCATCAGACTAGAAATGGAAGTGAGGGATAGAGGTGCAGGCATTTAACCCCAGCACTCGGGAGGCAGAGGCAGTCTATCTCTGTGAATTCTAGGTTAGCCTGGTCTACAAAGTGAGGTTCAGGACAGACAGGGCTATGTAGAGAGACCCTGTCTCAAAAGAACCCACAGAACAAAAAACCAGTAGAAATAAATTCAGTAGAGATATGCTGAGCATGTTTTAAGGAAAATGATACCAGCCAGATTTAGACACTTTTAAATTTTCTAAGAATGCCCTTATGTATGAAGTAATGCGTCTCAGTTGCAAAATATGTTACAAGTATGTAATACATTTATTTATATGGGATTAATATTGTAGACTTATACAATATCTATATATTAGATATATGTGTATGATATATTTGTGTATATATATTGTGTATGTGTATATATGTATATATATTTATATATCTATAAATATATATATATATATTTTTAAAGATAGGGTTTCACATATCCATCCCGGCTTCTGACTTGCTGCAGAGCTGGAAAGGACAGTAAGTTTCTGAGTTGGCTCCCTCTGCCTCCCAAGTACTGGGATGGCTGGTGTGTGCTGTCCAATCTGTGTGGTGCTAGGGATCGAAACCATGGCTTCTTGCATTCTAGGCAAGCACTCTGTCACCTGAGCTACATCCCCAGCCCTTGTTTGTGTTTGCTGTTGTTGTTGCTTTTCATAAACAGGGTTTCTCTTTTTAGTCTTGGCTGTCCTGGAACTTTCTTTGTAGAGCAGGGTGGCCTCAAACTCAGAGACCCATCTGCCTCTACCTCCTGAGTGCTGGGATTAAAGGTGTGTGCTACCACTGCCTGGCTTTGCTTATATATTTTATAGAGAATTGTACATTATTTGCATACTTTTGTTATTTTTTTAGATTTTACTTTTATTATTTTTATCTTATGTTACCTGCATGGGTGTGCATCACGGGTGTGCCTGGTGCCTGCAGAGACCAGAAGAGAGCACTGGATCTCCTAGATTTGGAGATATGGAAATTTGTGAGCTGCTCTGTGGGTGCCTTCAACCCCAGTAGTATCTCTCCAGCCCCTATTTACATTTACATTTTTAAGAATAAGAATTTCTGGGCTGGAGAGATGACTCGGAGGTTAAGAGCACTGGCTGCTCTTCTACAGATTCTGAGTTCAATTCCCAGCAACCACATGGTGACTTACAACCATCTACAATGAGATCCGGTACCCTTTTCTGGCATGCAAGCAGACATGCAGGCAGAACACTATATACATAATAAATAAACAAACAAATAAATCTTTTAAAAAATAATAAAAATTTCTACTTACACATTTGAAGTTTTTTTTTTTTTAATACTATCACCTGAGGACAGGGGCTGGGGTGTGGGGGGATGTTTTCAGAATTATTGGAACAGTTGATTCAGACTCAGAAACAGGGCTAACCGTGACTGGCATACTTTTTCTTAAAATGTACTTTTGAATGATAAGGTAAAAAATGGCTGGTAACTAACTGGCTTTTGATCTCTTGTAGATCTGTGTGGCTTGTGTGTTTTGAGGCCTGTTCTCTTGTGCAAGTTGTAAGGTTCGCCTCAGCAGTGCTCAGTGCCCTACTGAGAAAGTAAAAGGTAGAGTGAAACAGTAGAGGAAATTATCTCCCATGTGCCTTTCTAGAAAAAATAATAATAACATGACTTCCATTGCTGTCATTTGTAAAAGTCTCGGCCATGTAGTCAAGGCCTGTCAAGTACCTGCTCCACTGGTCTCACTTTCTGGCACATGTCTGGGGTATCCTGAGCGATTGGTCTTAGCAGGTACCCTGCGTACCAGGAATGTCTTTCCTCCAGTCAGCGGCCCCAGTCCGCTGCACGTTCAGAACCACCTAGAGCACATCGGAAGCATGGTGTGCAGGCAGCCTTTACACTCTGGCTTAGTGGGATGTCCTCTTCGAGAGCCACTGTACCAGCGTGCAGAACTGGGTAGGATTTGGACGAGAGAGGAAGAGGGAGGAATGGAACCCATTCCTTTCCACGTGAGGAACTGTAACCAGGTGTGTCCCCAGAGGTGACAGAGTGAAGTAGCCTTTGTGCTTTTGTCTTTGTAGGCATGGAAGGACTTTGATGAGACTTTAAACAGTTCCACAAAAGATGCGCTAATGGATGACAGAGACGCTCCTACGTACCATCTTCAGATAGAACCACAAGATGGATGTCGTCCGGGTGACAGCGTGGAAAGCAGAGTGACGCCCTTGCCTTCTGTCTCAGATGAAAATGAGAATCAGCTTGGCGGGGACGGGCCTGCGGGTGTGACTGGCAGTGACAGCACGATGGGGAGAGCCCCGGTGTGTGAACAGGACAGTCTCAACAATAACGAAAGCTGCCCGCCCGGCTGTGAGGCAGCCCCCGGGGAGACAGCAGAACACACGGCACGCGAAGCTCCCAAAGATGATCAGCCTTCCTCAGGACAGGAAAAAAAAACACCTGGAAAAAGAAGTCCAAGAGCCAAAAAAGGCACCGCTAAGAGGGCACCCCCTGGTAAGGCCTTCACGTTCTCTTACTATCCTTTACCAAAGCCAACTTGCCTTTCTGCTTTTAGTCCTGTTCTGCAGCCGCATCTGCAGGTCCCACCCTGTGGTTCTTCCCAGTGTCAGTCTGGAGAGGAACCATGGCCTGTTTCAACTACTGCCTTTATAAAGACACAGCTGTCTGCTGCCCTTAAACTTCCCTACTCCATCACTGGGGCCTGGGGCTCTGCCATGTGGTGGTCTGTGCTAGGACAGCTTCACCTAGGCTCTCTCTGCCTCACTCAGTAGGTGAACGGCATACATGAACTTAAGTCATTTCCGGTCTTGTACCAGTGCTGAGCTAGGCACCTGGTTTGGGTATCTCTTTATCTTTGTGTCTGACTCACCAGGCTCTCATGGGGAAAAGTCACCACTGGTGACTTTTGTACCTGGTTGTTTGTTGTTGTTTGGTTGATTGGATTTTTTGTTTGTTTGGTTGTTGCTGTTTTGTTTTTTCAGAGACATGACGGTGCTGGCATGCTGTTCCTTACAGGAACACACTGTACCCAGGCCAGCAGTGTTTGCAAGAGGATGAGCGAGTTAAGAGAGTGTTTCCTCCTCCCTTTTGCTCTGGTGTCCTCTGGCTGATATAAGAAACGCAGTTACTCCATATCCTGGGTTTCATTTGTAGTTTTAAAATTTAGAGTAAACTATAAAAATATGGGGCTGAAGGGGTAGCTTAGTAGATGAAGTCCTTGCTGAACAAATTCAAGAACCAGAATTCAGATTCCTTTTTCCTTTAAAATTGTATTTGTTTTTATTTTGTGTGTGCTGGTGTTTTGCCTGCATGTATGTCTGTGTGAGGGTGTCAGATCCCCAGGAACTGGAGTTACAGACAGTTGTGAGCTCCCATGCTGGGAACTGAATCCAGGTCCTCGGAAGAGCAGCCAGTGCTCTTAATGACTGAGCTCTCTCTCCAGCTGGTCTGGACGCCTGCATGTACCCTAGTGCTATTAGGTAGAGAAAGGATTCTTGGGGCAAGCTGCTACCTAGGCAAGCTCTGAGTTGAGCAAGAAACCCTGCCTCAGTAAAGGAAATGAGAGTGAATGAGGAAAACACCAGCCTTAACTTCTGGCCTATCAACCTCTGAATGCACATACCTGCACAGATATTCCTATACACACATGTGCCTACAAACATACAAGCACTCATAGAGCCTGTTAACTAGTCCTTATTTAATGAGGTAACCACAATTTGGCTCCAGGAAAGATAACTTATAACTTGACTGTTCATATTCCTTTGTCTTTTCTGTGTTCACTTAAAATTTGTAATTTTTGTTAAGGGGCGTGAATCAATTTTTTTGTAAAAGATCTGATGATAAACATGTACATAGTGTCATATGTATTACCTTGCTTTATTGTATAAACTGTCCTTAAAGGCACATTGACTCTGCCCTTCCAGTCTGATGGTGCTGTCTTTAAGAACTGAGACCTATCTGGGAGTGGTGGCTCACACCACTAATCCCAGCATTTGGGAGCTAGAAATAGAATTGCCAACCTTGACTACATAGTTCCAGGTCAGCTGACCATAGAGCCAGGGAGAAAGCCCAGCAAACCCCTTACCTGTTAGCAGTCATTTCCTCAGAGACATCCCACTTGCAGGCAATTGCTAATTTATTTTTTCTCTATACATCTGCCCTCCCTGGACATATTTTTATCAGAGATCTTTTTTGACTGGTTTCTTTCATGTGTCACATTTTCCTGGTTCACTCAGGTTGTAATATATATTTGTATGCTCTTTCATTTTATGGCATTTTTATTGCATGGATGTAGCATATTTCTCAGGTATTCATGTGTACACTGGTGGACATGTTGGCTATGATATTTTTGGTCCACTGTGATGCCTCTATGAGCATGTTTTTACTTCTCTCATTTATCATGGGAGGTGTTCTGCACGATGGGTAGCATTGTGTTTACCAGGTGCAGTGCTTTCCTATGTGGCTCCACCAGCTCATAACCCCACTAAAGTATAGGAGAGATACAGTTTCTGTCTCTTTGCCAACACTTGTCAATGTCTTTTTTTTTTTTTATAATACCAAGTTGTTAAAACAGAGATATAATTAACAGACCACAAAGCTTTCCTTTTAAAGCATACGGCACGGTAGTTTAATTATAGCCACAGAACTGTGCAGCCATTGTCGGTACTGGATCCCCTGTAAAAGAAACTATGAACCCATTAGCAGTTAATCCCCATTTCTCCAGTTCCTCAGCCCCTGGCAGTCAATGGCTCATAAACTTTGTATGACTTAACAGACAAGTTCAGATTAAGTGTGTAAAGATTGCCGTAACAACATTTGGTGTTTACTCAGCGCTAGTCACCATGGTATCTGTGCATCAGACAAACGGCTCAGGAAATAGCCAGAACCAGAGGTGGGCAGTGTGCCGAGGGAGATGGAGGAAGGCAGGCTCTTCGTCCTGCACCTTATCTCACTCTTCTTTTGCCCTTCACAATGTGTCCCTCTGGTCCAAGACGTGGAGGGCTGGAAGCTGGAGGAAAACAAAACATGGAAGTGCAGCCCAGAGTCAGGCCAGTAGAGTCAAAGCTGTGGGTTTGAAGCGGTGCTGTGCCTGATGCTACCCTTGTGATCTGAGATCAGGAACTCAGTTCCTCCCTGGTCACAACTTATCTACAAGGAAGCTGATACTGCATATCCTGCAGCATTGTCCTGGGGACAACAGCCCTGTGCATCAAGCAGCCAAAAGACAAGTGTGTATGAATGAGTTCTTGTGCTCGCGGTGTCACAGAACATTCTTTTGGGAGACAAGTTCAAAACTAAAAAGTAAATATGACACAGGGGAGGCCTAGGCCCTGCCCCAAATGACTTGACGATTTTGATGATCCCTCATGGAAGGCCTCACTCTCCCTGGGGAGTGGATGGGGGATGGGATGGAGGGGTCAGTGGGAGGATGGGAGGGAGAGAGAACTAGGATTGATATGTCAAATAAGATTGTTTCTAATTTAAATAAAATTCATAAAAAAAGAGGAAGTAAATCTGACTGTGAGTCTGCCTTAGCTCTTAGTTCCTTTGTCTGTGGTACTAAGAACTGAACCTGGGACCTTGTCCTGTGTTTAGTGTTAGGTAGAAAGTGTACACTGGCATGTTACTGATGTCTAAAATAACAACTGATGATGCCACAAAACATGCACTCTTAGTTGCATCTTATGTGTCTGACCTTGTCCATAGAAGAACCTTTCTTACTGGCCTCCAACTCCATGTGTCTAGTCCCATCACATGTGAATTCTGGGGATCCAAACTCTGGTCCTCATGCTTGTGTGACAGCAACTTTATCCATCAGCCTTGTCTCCAGCCCAGAATACATCCATTAGAAAAGAAAGGAGGAAAGAATTCCCCCTGGTCTAACAAATTTCCCCAACTCTAGAGACTTAAAACAGCAGACACTGTCTATCATCTGCCCTTGCTCTCTGGGCTAAAGTGAGGCTGTCAGCCAACCAAGTTCTTCCTAGAGCCTCTAAGGGGGGAGTCAGTTCCCCACTTTCCAGCTTCTCGCCCGCGGGTGGCTCCCTTCCTCCATCTTCCCGGACAGCCATGACCTGTAGAGTCCTGCCTATACCCCTTTGACTGCACTGCCTATGTTTAAGGGCCCCCGTAGTCACACAGATCCCTCGGTGATCCAGAGTAAGCTCCTTGTTCAAAGTCAACTGATGAGCAGTCTTACACCCATCTGCAGCTTCTATTCTCTTTGTAACGTGAAGGAATGGACAGATTCATAGACTTGGGCATAATCATTTGGGGGGCCTTTACTCTGCAGACCTGAAGATGTTTTAACATGATGATAATGCTTTACATAACAACTAAGTCTTTATAAATATTGTCATTGCATTATTTTCTAGAACCACAGAGGACTACTCAGTCAGCAGGAATTTATTGGGTTTTGCATACCATGCGCTCTTCAACTGCTGGTAAACCTGCCTTTCAGTTTTTTATGTTCCGGTGAGGGAGCTAAGTAAAAAGCAGGGGCAGCCTAACAGAGGAGGAAGCCTTACAGGGTCAAGCTCGCGCTTAGCAGTGGAGTGCAGTGTCCAGGGAGAGCTGTGAAAGCTTCCAGGAGGAACTGATTGATGTCTAAGCTGAGATAGGACAAACGAGATAAGGATGAAGATGAGCGTTGTCAGAGTAGCCCAGAGCGTATAGGGAGTGGCCTGTGTTTTGGCAGATCTCCATATCTTTTTTGGCTGAGGACAGTTGAGAAATGACAGAGTGCCCAAGATTTGGGCGATTAGCAAGGTTCAGATTATAAATGTACTGTGTTATAATCACCAACTTGGACCTTCCCAACAAGCTTGACAGTAACACAATGGGAGCCTCAGCGAGTGTACCAGACAATTTGGGGCAGTGGTATAGAGGTGAAGGAGACGGGTAAGCGGCTTTGGCAGCCTCTGTGTGAGGGATGCTGGCAGTCTCCACTGAGGGGGATCTGAGATGAGCCTTCTCTAGCCACTGGGGTGTGATTTCAGGCTTGCTTTTAAATACAGAGTCTGAAGTTGGGTGGTGATGGCACACACCTTCAATGCTAGCACTTTGAAGGCAGGTGGATCTCTGTGAGTTTGAGGATAGCCAGGACTACATAGAAAAACCCTGTCTCGAACCCCACCCCCCAAACACAGTGTCTGATTGTCAGTGCAGCTTTCAGATTCTGTCCCCAAACTACATTCAGTCCCAGTAAATTGATATTTGTTTAAGTAATGGAATTTCACACATGGTGAAAATGAAAAAAAAATTATACCTCCAAATTCATGTATTTTTTCAATTATATGTAAACATGGATAGATATAGACAAACGTAAAGATAAGGAGATATTTTAGGGGCTCCTGTTTGGATTTTTTTGAGACAGTATCCCAGACTATCCTGTAACTCACCGTGTAACTTAGATTGGCCTCAAACTCACAGTAGTCCTCCTGACTCCTCTTCCCAGCTACTGGGACACCATGACTGCTCCATCTCTCTCTGTC